TATTTGGGGGGGGGGGGGACTTGTACACCATTTTAATGTTAAATCCAATAAAAAATATTTCATTTAGATTTTTTTCCACAAAAATATTATGGGTAAAATTGGAAAAGTCAAAGTCTTATCAGCTACAATGAAATTAGGATTTAATTCTATGTATTTAGCTTTCTATTTCCAAGTGGAAGTCTTGCCTGTACCAAAATAAAAGTTTAGTCATATGAATATATTTGCATGCCAAAAAGTTTTCTCTTTGCATTAAGGTATATTATTCCATAGTACTCATCACCCTTAAGATTTATGCAGAAAAGAAAAGTACCATAGGTTAATTTTTCTATGTGCAGCTAGACAAATCTTCTCAAGACCATCTACTTCATATTCTTAGAGACAGCTGGAAGCCAGAGGAACATTTTGGAAAAACTTTCTGCTTAAAAATATACAGTATATGTTAATATTTCTATTTTTCTTTTTCTCCCTTATTACTAGGGACAGTTTAATCACATCAGAATTGCTGTTTGTTTAGCATTCATCTACTGCTTATTCCTGACAATCCTCTGCTTGGCAAATCATAACTGGTTGCTGCGGTAATGATTATGGTATGTCAGGGGATGATGACTTCACATGAGGAATAAACAGAAGGAGTTGATGAGCTCTCAACAAAAATCTGTTTTCTCACATAAAGCTGCTTTGGGAGAAGGGGAAAAAAGCGACATACCAATAGAAGTGGGACTAAGTAGTTCCTTAATTTTTTATGGAGCACAAAATGTATTTTAATGCTAACTTTTTTCTAGCCGCAAGATATTTTGATGTTTGCCCCTCCGTACATTTGATAGATTCACGCTAAATCTTCACGTGTCAAAGTGAGAAACAAATCAATTTTCAACCTGAGTAGATCAACCTACTTGTACAGAAGGTCAGTAAGCACTACCCTTTTGCTCTATGGCTCTTAAATTTCCAGAGACAGGAACCTACAAAAATCACATTAATGGAAAAATGGTCCTGAACTCTAGTATCTTGATACAGCATCTAATACATGCAGTTTGTGGAACTTTCATGAAAGCAGAATACGATGTCTTTTGGAATGGTTATACCATTGTGAAAATCCAAAAGAAAAGAGAATAAATAGTTTTTTCTTTTTAAAAAAGGAACATGTGCATGATAGAGGAAATTTTTTATTCCGTTTACTTTTTAGAGCAGTTTGTCGTTGTGTAAACAGTTCTAATATAATAAAGGGCTTAGTCTGTGTGTCTGCCCATAACACTTGTGGCCAACTGTGCATACAACACTGAGAGGGCAGGTGACGATTGGCTGCATGGGCCCAAGTTTGAGCCGCTGATGGAAAAGTTTGTGGAGAACATGCTCCAGCTGCCTAAGCAACAGGACTTCCCCACACCTCCCTACCTGAGGGCAATGGTGTGGGTTATGGTGGCCCCCCACCGCCCATCCCCACTGACCCCCGAGATATATAGATATACCATCACAGACATGATGTCAAAATGTATACCACGTCTTTATCATAGAATCATGGAGTATTAAGGTTGGAAAGGGCCTTAGGAGGTCATCTAATCCAACCCCCTGCCTGAGGCAGGAAAGATCTTGTGCCCTGTATGGGCATCAAAACTGCAACCTTGGCATTATTACTGCAACGGTCTTTTCTTGGAACAAAAATTAAAAGGGTAGTCAAAAGGAAGTGTGCAATTAATGAGAGGAGAGGGCATTTTGCTGTGGCTGAAGAGCAGGTGAAGGGAGAGTCTTACGTGCTTTGGGGATGGCTGCTCCCATGAATGGTCCAAAAAGGGGAATTAGACCATACCACTGCACCCCATCTGGATCTGCCCCTGCCAAGTTACAAGGGCACTGTGTGGCCCCTTTCCCTGTAGTTCTAGGGGACTGCATGCTCCAAGGTCCAAACAAGATATCCAGTTTTTCAACCCTTACCTTGAAAGCCAAGCTTTCCAATTTCACTTCTCCCATTCTCCTCAAATGAAACTGGAAGCATTCTGACTAACCTACTATGTCAAAGCCTGAAAAATGCCAGAGCCTATGTCAAAAGCCTTGCTATATTCCAAATAAACTATGCTCACTGCATTCATTCAACCACCCACTAGTTACTTTGTCAAATAAAAAGGTCAAGTTGTTTTAGCATGATTTCTTTGTAAATCTATCCTGGCTGATATAGATCACTTTTTCCTCCTCCAGATGTTTTTCAATATAATTTTCTCCAGCAACTTCCTGGGTATTGAAGTCAGACTGACATGTTTATAATTCCTGGGTACTGCTTTTTAAAAATGGAAAGTATGTTAGGCCTTTTCCAGTCCACACCCATTTCTCACATCTTTTTAAATATTGCCATTGACCCTAGGATGAATTCAGCACCATGAGATGAATTTTAATAGATCTTGCAAGTTACATTAATTCAAATTAATCAAAAGCTCTCTGATGCCCTCTTTTGTTATTACCCCACTTGATAGCCCTGCTAAGCTGAGATCATCCAAAATAGATCCTTTGTTTCAAAATACAATTTTGTCTTACATCATGATCTACAGATGCATATTCAGCCATCTAAGTTTACATCGTCTGGCTTTTCTGGAATCCAAGAATAGGTTTTTGATAAACAGAGCTAAAATTTAGCCTTTAAAAAAAATTGTATCTGTTGAGACTGAACTTGACATTTTTTAAAAAGTTTGATATGTTTTAATTTTAAGGTTTCATATTCATGTCCCCTGCCATTTTGTAAGTGGACAAAAATCTTTTTTTCTTTAAAATATAAATCAAAATACACTATTCTCTCATTTTAATTAAACTAGGAGCAAATTACTTCTTTTTTTTCAATTTAATGTCTGTGTAACAAAAGAAAATATCTGGTTAAAAGTGGATTTTTTTCATTGTTCATTTCCCCCCATCCCAAACACACCCTGATTTTATTCAGAAAGTGAGATGTTTTAAATCAGATCTAATCTAATCAACAGATGGAAGAAAATATAATCTTCATTTGAAAGTGAAAACTTTTGAAACAAGTCAGAGGAAAGAAGACATTCTCAAGACATTGTTTATGGATTTATGGGGCAATTTAATCCAAATGCTACTAAAGTTTTTACAAGGATTTTTATTTTACTTTAACTGGCTTTGTATCAAGCCCTTTCAGCAAGGTTCTTATGCTTATTATGTATGATTTAATAACATGATTAACATTTACGCTATTGTAACCACTATCATCACCACCACCAAAATTTGTCACGTGCACTCATTTTGAAATAGGATGATGTTCTGAAATGTTAAAAAAATGATAGTTCAAGCAAACTAATTTTAATCTTATATTGCATGACTTTTTATGCAGTTTACACACAAAGCATTCTTTCAGAAAAAAATTCATTGGCACCTTTAATGCCATTATTTTTGAGCCATTATTTTGAATGTGTCACACCTAATTATGATGCAATTGGTAGAGTAAAAAAGAGATTTTGGTAAACCTCATCTTGTTTCAAAAAGTACGCATTCTGACCTCATCTGAGTATGTAATCTAAATGTTACTTAGGGCACATGCATATATTTGCAGGACCTGACCTACAATACCACAGCTTGCATTAAGTTGCACAACTGTTGATCAGATCTTTGCTTAGATGCATATTCACTGGTGCCAGGAGCCATTCTGGAAAAATGATCTAAGTAAGTTGGGGTGGGGTGGTGGGAAGGATGGCATCGGGGTGGGGGGGGAAGTAGCTGGTGTGGGGGGCTTGGCGCGATCAGAAAGGGCTGTACATCTAGAGTTGGGAGGAGGGCCAGAGGCCCAATAAGGGGTGGGAAGGGTAAGAAAAGCATGGCCCCTGGGCTGTGCTCTGAATGTGTACACACATTTGGTTAGATCAGGCATGGCTTGGCCTGATCTACATAGTGGACTTCCTTAGGTAAACTAAGTTAGATCAGGCCGGCTAGTTGTTGTCCAATTAAAATTCCTCAAACATGTATCCAGTTTGGCTTTTAGATCAAGCTTAACCTCAGATAATCATGGCCTCCACCATCTCATTATATAAGAAGGCAGAACAAGGCTATGTTGAAATTTATGGGAGTTTTGTCACTGACTGCAATGGGATGTGCTGAGGCATTTTCTGTTTCAAAAGTAATTCAACTATTTTTATTTGATTTTACCTTTCAGGGCAGAAAGATCCTGCAAAACTGGTGGAATGTAAATGCAAAATGGAGAACAACTATTTAGACAGCAGTACTGCAGAAAAGGATCCAGAGATTACAGTGGTTGCAGACCAAATGAGTCAACAACTTGATATAAAAGGGTAAATCTCATTTTTGGTAAGTATTAATAGAAATGTTGTAGATATCGGGAAATAGTTATTTACTTTCAGTGTGACACTGGGTAGGCCTCATTTAGACAACAGTTTCCAGGTTTCAGCACTACACATATAGAAAAAGTAGGTTAACTGGAGAGTGCAGAAGGAGAAACAAAATCTGAAAAATGACCTATTAGGAAACATTGAGAGAACTGGATTTGTTTTCTCTGGCAAAGAAGAAGACTGAATGCTAATGTAGAAACTGTCTTCCAGTATGTGCAAGGTTGTTTTAAAGAGGGCAATGATTACCACATTCATTCATATACTACATGCACCTTTTCCCCCAAATTACCGCTCCAAACTTGGTGTCTGTGATTTAGGAAGGAAGCTGATTTCTGCGTTAGAATGGAGGTATGTGGATGCTGGAATGTCTCCCAAGGACTCTACTCTCTTCCTGACTGGCCACATGCAGGAGGGCCCGGGTCCCATCCTCAGTAACATTCACCCTCTTGCCACAG